TCGGGCACAACTCTCAGGTTTTCGATAATCCAACTCTTCTTCGTCAAGGTGGACATCAACTTTGTGAAAAACTTTCCTGTCTTAACGTTTTCTTTTCTGACACTCTCCCTGTGATGAAGAACTTGGTCAAACGTAAACATCCCTCTCTGGTCTTACCGGATGGTTCCACAGTTGAATGTCAGACAACTCGCCCCCTGGACAATTCACCCCAGACAACTCGCCCGCGATCTTCAGACAACTTGCCCCCGATCTTCAGACAACTGGCCCCCAATGTGAAAACACCTATGTTACGTTGGACAAATATATTTTATGCTTGTAAGGTAATAATTTCTTGAAAGAAGAAGAAAGTATGTTTTTTAAAGTACATTAGGAGACCAAGACTTACGTTTGTAGCCTTCGATTGTAACAATCACGTAAACACATGAACGTGACCATTTTGTAATCCAGCCACAACATTTGAAGTAATTGAAGTGAAACAGATCTAACTGTTTATGTTTTTTTGGTTTGAAGCATTCTGGAAGGAAGGTTGAGGTTGGAGAAACAAATGACGTGAATATGTAAATACACTGCCATCTTGGTTATAGCATGTGTTCAAGCGTATTATGATGTAATCAATGAATATTTCTTTTGAATGCTGGATACTCATTCCATAACTGAGAATTCTAAGAATTCGTTCATTTATTCTTAAACACAAATAAACATGGACAAATTGCTTAACTTATGTGTTGATGATACCAAATTACATGTAAACTTAACTCGATATCTCTATTATTCCTTATGCTACAATAATTATTACAGACTAGGTCAGGTTTCAATGGTTACTCATGCATTGATAACAATAAATCACATGCAACATAACTTGATATCTCGATAATTTCTTGTGTTCAGTTCCTTGTGCTACAATAATTATTACACACTAGGTCACGAAGCTGGATTCTCAATGGATTCTCAAAACACTAAATCAACTTATGCATTGACAATACTAATTCACATGCAAACTTAACTTGATATCTCGATAATTTCTTGTGTTCAATTAATTATGCTACAATAATTATTACAGACTAAGTCAAGAAGCTGGATCCTCAATGGATTCTCAAAACACTCAATCAACTTATGCATTGGTAATACTAAATTACATGTAAACTTAACTTGATATCTTGTGACAATTGATTCTCAAAATACTAAATTAACTTGAAAGTGCAATTCAAGTGGTACTACAAAACAGATTTTTAACTTAAAACGGATTCACTAAATGCGAACAGGCTTCTAGTAGTTGTTTACTGTTCTTCTCACCTTCTTCGTACTACTGCCATAAGCTAAACAGCTTCTTCTGCATTTTCTTGTACATTGTGCATTGATGTCTTCGCAGTCTTCTCTCTGACACGAGTCTGATCTGAAGCGACACCAGATCTGCTTCCTTGTGCAGGAGTTGTATTAGGACGTACAGTGGCATGTTGGACTTGCCCTTGGCGCGTCGATTCAGGCTGTTATGCCATCCCTCTAGGTCATTGTTGGTTCTCACTGTTTCCATGTACACGCTCCAGGTGGCCGGTGGGAAAGTGTGACTGGTAACCCAGTTGTCTGCTACATAGCTGGCGAATTTCTTCAAACCTTCTGTTGTTGCTTGTTGCTGTATCTCATTAAATCTTCTCTGGATCTTGTCTGTCGGTAGGAATGGAAGAGCCATCAGCTTTCTGATGTACTCGTGGGTGCCACGGTCTTGCGTGTAGGCCTCCTGCAGTCCAAGCTCTTGTACCTAGTAGAAATGGAAAGTATGTTAGATATACTGCATTTGAACACAATTCACAGTTTACCAGTTCATACTTGGCACAATTGATAGTGTCATGACATTGAAAAAATGCAATAAAAAGACGACACGACGACGATGTCAAAGCAAATACGCCATGTTTCTAAATGACACCATAAATTATGCGCAGCAAGTATGCGCCATACAATTATAAGGAAACACCTTAAATTCTTGTATTAACTTTCAGAATATATTTTAATTGATCATTGTACTAACCTTCCTCCACAGGGCCTGTGTCCAATGGAAGGAGCACCCCATCAGCTCAGTGTCCAGCAGGTCCTGGCAGACCGCACTCCACATCGCCTTTTCAAAATCTAGGGTTACCTTCTTCACTCTTGGCTGGTAAGGCAGGATTGACAAAAGTGCCTCTAGGACTGATTTGTAGTTTCGCTTCTTCCTTCCCGACATGATAACAAAAATGAGAGGTACTTGTTTCACATGGTCATCGTTCTTAACAAAGGCATTCACGGTCCACAATTGTGAAAACGGGTGACGACAAAGTTTAAACGTTGCATCCACATACCAGCTCTTCGATTTGCTACGAACTTACAACTGCCGGTCTGATGCGAATATCAAATGACGGCGTCCATGTATCTGAAACATAAAGCGAATTTATTTGGCCCCACACACAAAACGTTTAAAATTTCAGCCTCGGTGTGAATTTAGAACCCCTACAAATAGCGAATCCTCTTCTCGAAAAGGAGGGAAACGATTGAAAATGAAACGTGAGGTATGTAAGCTATGTAAAAAATTTGGTAGTTAATTTTAGAATGCACTTTAATAAGAAAGTTCATTCTTTTCATAGCCCATGTAAACAGTTTCCAAGAGATGAACATTCTATCACACAGTCTTGTTAGTCTTTTCTTTGCGAAAAAATTGTGATGCATGTTTAATTTTCGGCTATCTTACCCTAACATCTTTGCGAAAGAAGTTATCAGGGATGTGCTCTGTCTCCAATTCAAATTCCAAGTCTTTAGGATCTTGTAGGCGCAATTGCTCACGGAAATCGGCAGGTATATTTTGCAGGGTGCAGGGTGCAGGGTGCAGGTTGAAATTTAATTATAACTGGAAAACCGCTGGCACTAAAAATAATTAATAACCTACATACTCGTCAGGGGTTCTTACATAAATTAGTTCGCCTCTCACATAGTGAAGACACGATCGATCCGCGGTAAGTGTCGCGATAAATAGTTATCAATCGACATGCTGAGACCAGTGAAGTCTCTTGAAAACCATCTGGATGGCCGCTCGACAGATGTTTCCATCGATTCCAGATTTGGCTTGGATCTTCCCTCAACAACAGAAGATTGCCATCACAAATGAAGCAAACAAATAAAGAAATGAAATAACATAAGATTTTAACCGACGGAATATACTAGCACAAGCTCAGTGTGCTTTCATTT